CAAGGCACTCATGTGTAAGGTTTAGGCGTATAATAAGTAATCAAAGCTATCTAGTTGCCTTCTTTAAAGCCCTCCTTGGCAAGTCCCAAAACCTGGTCCTAGACGATAATCCCTAAACCCCTAAACCGATTTCGCGCGTAGGGTGAGTTTGGAGCTCTTTGCGGATGTTCATTTTCCAGGATTTTAGAAGGGTCTTGTAGCGGTCTTGCAAGCATTGGAAAGATTCAGTTTTCCCGATAGAGTTCTTACTACTAGAGGAACTTCGTTTACGGTCTTTACAAAAAGGATCCTTTCTTTGGAAGATTTTTAGACTTGGCAAGTAAGTTTCTACATACTCTAATTGGCGTCAACATGTCAAATTGCAGTTAAGATATCGTTCCCGTATCCATGACCCTAGATACTAACTCGCCATGATCCTTTCAGTCGAAAACCTGAGGCCTAGAATCTTCAACCCTAAACCCTAAACCTTAATGTAAGTTCTCACTGGAACCCAACGCCCCGAATCTCTTGTGGAGCCGTGTTGGAACCCTGCAAGGAACCTTGTAGAGTTGTTTGGCGGTCTTACATGAGTGTCACTGTTGTTTCTGCGACTCTCCCTTTTATCAGAGGCTTCATTTTAAACCCTAGACCCTAAACCCTAAATCCTAAACCCTAAACCTTTAGGTTCAGGGTTTGCGGCCGAGCCCGCTGCTCGGGGGCAAGCAAGAGTGCTGCTCACTTGCCTACCTGCTTCAAGTCTTCTGGGTTTGCTCGCTGCAGATGCGAGAAACAGGACGTGCTCTGTTTTACAGCTCTTCTTGCCCAGGACATTATGTCGAAGAAAGCGGAAGCATCTGTTGGCGGTCTGGAGTTCGATCGCCGGCACCAGTGTCGGTGGGAGGGTTGGCAGGGTCAACAAAGGGCCCTCAAGGACATTATGAAAGAAGCTGAGTCTCTCCACAGGCAGGAGATGCGGAAGACCATAGGGGAAGAAGCCCAAGCCGCTGGCAGCTATCAGTATTTGCGGACGGTGGCCCAGTTGGGCCAGCAAGCCAGAAGGGCAGCAAACCACGGCTGGCTGATGGTGCACTTAAGTGGGCATGCCATCTGTTGCCTCACCGATTTCAATGTACAATTTTCCCCGCAGGGGCAGCAACGGCAGCATTTCTTCGCATCATGTCACGAAACATCGAGTTGCCTCTTGCCTTGCCATGTGCTGCACATCTGTTGCACTCGACGAAGTCACACTTTTGCTGGCTTGGGGTTTATTGCTTTTTGCTTCAGCGGTGCAGGTTTAGGGTTCAGATTCCAGGGGCGCACGGCCGAGGGCTGGGGGTAGGGTTTAGGGTTTAGGGTTTAGGGTTTAGGGTTTAGGGTTTAGGGTTTAGGGTTCAGGGTTTAGGGTTTACGGCCTAGGGCTTAGGGTTTAGGGTTCAGGGCCAGGGTGTTGAGAGTTTGGGGTTTTAAGGTCAGGGCTTACGCATTCCGGGGTAGTCTGGTTTGGGAGCTGGGTATTTTAAGCCCCAAAGCCTACTTGGACTTGGACATCAGCGGCCCTCCTACGTAAGGTACGTGCCGTAATGGGGGGCTGCAGATACCTTATTCTAGGACATTGTCAGGTGGGTAGTTACCGTTATAGGAGCCTTAAAGAAGGTCTTTATACCGTCTAGAAGCATTATAGAAGCCCTATATACCCTAAACTCCCCACCTGTAGTTTCCCCTAACTTATGTACTACCGAAGATGCTGAGCCCCATGATCTGTTAAGTAGAGCATCGCTTCTAGAACCAGTCATCCTTCAGAGGTTACGGTTATATGGGCATTGATCTAAAGGTCCTTGTGGCTGTATTTATACAAAACGACCACTGGCATAACAAAACATGCCATCGCGAAAGTTCCGCGATGGGTCCGCTAAAGAAAATTATTTTTTCTGCGAAAGTTATTGTGTTGGCCTATTCGCTCGCTGTTTCTACTACTACTACTACTACTACTGCTACTACTGCTGCTACTACTACTACTACGGCTGCTGCTACTACAACAACTACTACTACTACTACTACTGCTGCTGCTACTACTACTATTACTATTACTATTACTATTACTATTACTATTACTATGACTATGACTATTACTATTACTACTACTACTACTACTACTACTACGACTACTACTACTACTACTACTGCTACTGCTACTACT